GATGTTCGAAATCAAACTGAAATCAACTTTCACAAATCCAAGCATGTTCCTGTAAAATAAAAACTTCTGAGTTGGCAAGCACTTGGTAAAACAATCTGCTGGGTTCAAAGTTCCTGGAACGTGCGACAAAAGCAAAACTTTGCGATCCATCAACTCTCGGAGCCAATAAACTTTAATCTCAATGTGTCGGCTCTTTCGCTGCAAATCAGATGCTTCGAGAAGCATTTTCCCTGACAAACTGTCGGTCTTGACGACCAGTGGAAACAAGTATGAAACTCTCATAGAGTCTTCGTCATCAGACTCTGCTTCGTCATACCAAGTCACCTGAGCGTCCTGAGGGATAATGTCAACCCATGGATACAAACGACCAAGCACAAAACCCAAAGTCCTGAGCAAGCCGATTCCTTCCTGAACACCTGACTGTAATGCAACAAGCTCAGCCTCACAAGAGGAGAGCGTCACAGCTGACTGGTGCCTGCTGAAACACTTCATCAAACACTGTTGAAAAACTAGACGACGGATGGCCCGAGAGCGTAGAGGAGCAGGGTCTTCTCTTGTTAGTATGGAGACACAATTTTACAAACAATATATGAAAGATGTGTTATAGGCAATCGAGAAGAGAAGTAGCAAGACAAAATAGTGAGAAGTGCAAGACAATAGTTTGCATCGCAAACACTTTTACACACAGACGCTTTTACACACAAAAGTTTTTACACACAGAAGCTTTTACACACAGAAGCTTTTACACAGAGGCTATTACACACAAAGCTGTTACCCACAGAAGCTTTTACATACAGACGCTTTTACACACAGATGTTTTTACACACAGACGCTTTTACACGGACACTTTTACACACAGACATGTTTACACACAGACACTTTTACACACAGACCTTTTTACAGACAGGAGCTGCTTTTACACACAAACGCTTTGACACACAGAAGCTTTTACACATAGACGCTTTTACACACAGGCACTTTTACACACAAACACTTTTACACACAAACACTTTTACACACAAACACTTTTACACACAGACGCTTTTACACGCAGACGCTTGTACACACAGAAGCTTTTACACACAAACACTTTTACGCAGAAACACTTTGACACACAGACGCTTTTACACACAGACGGCTTTACACACAAGCGCTTTTACACACAATCACTTGTACACACAGACGCTTTTACACAGAGGCCGGCCCAGGTAGTCACAGCGAAGTCATCGTTGTCGTGGCGACCTCAGCAATCCGACGGGGTGGTGGCGAAGTCCTATTTCCATGTGCCTCGAAACCAGCATGTATAAACATGTCATGCGGGCTATGTGCTTTGGGGCCCCCCAACCAAGGTGGTTTGCCATCTCCTGAAAAAAAAAGTATAAACGGGCGGACCTGGCAGGCAGCGACCGTTTCTGGGCTGGGACACGCACAGTATTACAATATGATAGAAGTTGGTTCTTTATGGGTTTAGGGTCCTGACTCCTGACTGTGACTGGAATGGGAACTCTTATCTTAACACTCATACATCCATCTCTATATATTAAAAGTCATACATCCATCTTTATATCATATCTCTATCTCAATATAAAATATATCGATTTGTTTCTTTGTGGTAGCAGCTTATCCAGGTAATCCATCCCATCCCGGGGCCCTGACTCGATGCAAACCTAGCTGCACAGACCAACAATGCGGACCCGCAAAGCATTCAAGGACTATGACTAATGACTGTGACAGATCACATTCAGCGATGTCCCGGCACAACTATATGCACAAAAGGAATCGGCAGCTTTATTGCTCTTCTATGGAGTCTCAGACCGTTCTGCTTGACCCACGCCGATACACTATGGTGAGACAGGATGCACTACGGTGAAACTGAATGTCTCAAGCAAAGATGCGTGCATCAGCAAGTCTCAGACAGTTCTGGTTGACTCATGCTGATGCACTTCTTTTTCAAATTCAAAGCTCAGACAGTTCTGGTTGCAATACAAGAATCAAAGTTAAACATCAAATAACTAAGCTGCTCACAAAGGTGTTGACGCACGCCGATGCACTACGGTGAGACAGGATGCACTACGGTGAAACTGAATGTCTCAAGCAAAGATGCGTGCATCAACAAGCCTCAGACAGTTCTGGTTGACTCATGCTGATGCACTTCATTTTCAAATTCAATTGACATCAGTGGCTACCGCGGTTGATCTTTATCTGGGCACCTCCACGGACACGACCTTAGGTCCAGCATCTCTGTGAACGCAACAAGTTTTTCCACATTGCATCACAAGTGGTGTTGAAGATATCCCGAACACTGCCGATTGGGATCTCAGTCTCGACGAACGTAAAACTATGCCTTTCATGAAAAGAGTCAATTAACGACCTTTCAAGTCCTCTGCTCCATTCATCCGCGCGCCTGTAATCACGGTCACATAGCTGACACCATCAGAGGACATAGGACATTCCTTGAAAAGACATAGGTCGCATTATGCAAAGAGGTTTGAGTGGAAGGGCAAAAAATAGAAGGGTAAAATCCAACTACCATGCTATGTAATATGAACAGGTACTACCACTCAACAGGTAATCGATCCCATCCCAGGGCCCTGACTCGATGCAAACCTAGCTGCACAGACCAACAATGCGGACCTGCAAAGCATTCAAGGACTATGGCTAATGACTGCGACAGATCACATTCATTGATGTTCCGGCACAACTATATGCGCAAAAGGATCTGACAGCTTTATTGATCTTCGATGAAGTCTCAGACCGGGCTGTTTGACTCACGCAAAGATGCGTGCATCAACAAGTCTCAGACAGTTCTGGTTGACTCATGCTGATACACTTCATTTTCAAATCGTCTTTGCGATGATATGATTACATGTATCCAAATGCTTGTTTCACCGGTGTCAGGTAACCGGAAAGGTCTATAAAGCCCCAAGGCAGGACGGACCCACTAATCTACAGCTTGCTCATTCCTCAGTTCCTAGTAGGACGCTCGTGAGCCGGCTCATTAGCAACCATGGGGTCGATGATCTGATAAAGCAATCTTCCCTGCTCATCACGTTCTTCTGGAGCAAGAAATCCATACCAACGAAACTCACCAGGTCGAACCTTCTCCAGTACATTTGCTTCCATCTTTCGAAAGTAACCCAGAGCAGTAATTTCGACCTGGAGGAAGCTGTAGTCGAAATAGTTGTAAGTGTGACACCATTGAGCATCTGTGGCACGCCCAAGAGGCGCATGTGTCGCACTCAAATCTATCCTGGAGGTATAGATGTCTGGCTGGACTCTATGATGCGTCCGCAGTTCCTCCATCTGTGGTGGAGCGAGAGCTATCCACAGACGAATGCTATCCTCCATTGAGTTCAAACCGAGATTACTCCCCAAACTCAGCAAAGAAAATGGCTTCGCGACATCGATGCAAACATGCAACTCAATTGCCTTTCCATGTGGATTGATACTCACTGCAAATCTCGGTCCATGTTGATCTCTTGACTGTGAACTCTGCCGCTTACAGTTCTTCCAAACCAACGACCTACCAATCTACAGTCACCTTCCAGTTCAACATGACAACTCCACACGTCAAAACTCACAGTTTCACTACAGCAAATCAAACAAAAACAAACTGTCCATCCGTCACATGAGCAACGCAGACCCACATGCTGCTGAAGATACTTGGATGGCATTGGGATCTCAGTCTCGACAAACGTAAAACTATGCCTTGCATTAAAAGAGTGAACGACCTTTCAAGTCCTCTGCTCCATTCATCCGCGCGCCTGTAATCACGGTCACATAGCTGACGCCATCTGAGGACATAGGACATTCCTTGAAAAGACATAGGTCGCATTATGCAAAGAGGTTTGAGTGGAAGGGCAAAAAATAGAAGGGTAAAATCCAACTACCATGCTATGTAATATGAACAGGTACTACCATGCCTCGATCTGCCAAATTCGTATCCTGTCTCATGAGGGCGGTGTGCTTTGGGGCCCCCAACCAAGGTGGTTTGCCATCTCCCCAAAAAGAAGCATAAACGGGCGGACCTGGCAGGCGGCGAACGTTTCTGGGCTGGGAGAAGCACAGTATTACAATACGATATAATGGGATGGCTTTTGTGCTCCTTTCCATGTGGTTTTTGGGTTTAGGGTCCATGTGACTTGAATTGAAAGTCTTTTCTTAACATTCATACATCCATCTCTATATATATTACCACTTATACATCCAAATTCCATCTCATAACTTTATTTCTATCTCAATATATAATGTATCGATTTGTTTCTTTGTGGTAGCAGCCTATCCATGTAATCCATCCCATCCCGGGGCCCTGACTCGATGCAAACCTAGCTGCAGAGTCCAACAGTGCGGACCTGCAAAGCATTCAAGGACTATGACGAATGACTGCGACAAATCAATTTCAGTGATGTTCAGGCACAACTATATGCGCAAAAGGAATTAGCAACTTTATTGATCTTACTACCACTGCCTCGATCCGCCAAATTCGTATCCTGTCTCATGAGGGCAGTGTGCTTTGGGCCCCCCCAAGCAAGGTGGTTCTGGCAGGCGGCGGACATTGCTGGCCCCCTCAGCATTTCGACGGAGGGGTGAAGTTCGTACCATGTATTTGTACTTTGTATTGCTCAGACAGTTCTGGTTGCAATACAAGAATCAAAGTTAAACATCAAATAACTAAGCTGCTCACTAAGGTGTTGAGAAGACAAAGAACCGACCTGGCCCCCCGCCAGGGTGGGGGAACCATCCTATCCCCTGAAAGTCTTATAGGAGCAGGCCATAATTATATACCTATTATCAAAGTCTGAAGCTAAGGCCTAAGGCTGTTAATCTGAATATTGTAGAGATCTAAGACGACGACTCGACTATGTGCATCTCATCACAATACGTGACCAAGTGTGTAATGTCATGGCGAGCCTAACTAAAACTTGTGTCAGTCCCGATATTGTCCTGCAGAACCTTGAAGCGATCACTGCCCGCAGACTATCGCAGCTGTTGCATGCCATTCAGCATGGTCGAGTCCACTGGCACTGTGCTGCAAAACGATAAGTGCGCGCCATGCAAGCGCGCCGTTCCAGTGAGAAGTAGATCTGGGTGGCCTCCTCGAAGTCGCTCAGTTGGAAGTAGTGGTTCGTATGTTTGTTGTCGGATCGCATCCAGGAATTGGTCGTGCAGCCTTGCGCAAGTTCGGAAGCTGCCACTGTGTCCTCACCGCATCGATGAGGAACTCTCCCTGGTCAAGGCTCGCCTATGGATCTCCTAGTCCAAGGCCCAAAGCTCCTATACTCCTTGCTCACCCTTTTCTTCACACATCTGTGATGACCTTGGTGATCGCGGTGATGTTCTTCTCCAGGAAATAGCTAGTTACTTGCTTCTTCAAAATGACTCCGTTAACCATCAATTTGAAGCCACTTGATCAATCTCAAACAAGTTCAATGGACCATCTCAAAGGGGATCACTTTGAAGAAGCAACAGAAAATAGTTTTTGCTTTTCTTTACTTAGAAAAGTCCGTCCGTCCAGAGAGAGGCCTATCTGCCCACAACAAGAGATCGGGGGGAACCGGGGTTACTGGCCCTGCAGGCCAAAGGTTATCATAGATTCAATTGGGAGGAAGTGACAATAGATGTACCATGGCTGATGGCAAGGCCATGGTACACCATCACCTCCATTGAAAGTCATAAGACCTGAGGAGGAGCCTGGACACGTATACCTTATATCGTGCGTGCGTGTGTCGATGGGATGGCGTGGTGAAGTCCCATTTCCATGTGAACCGGAAAAAAAGGAAATGATCTTACTCGAAACCAGCATGTATAAACATGTCATGAGGGCTGTGTGCTTTGGGGCCCCCCAACCAAGGTGGTTTGCCATCTCCCCAAAAAGAAGCATAAACGGGCGGACCTGGCAGGCGGCGAACGTTTCTGGGCTGGGAGAAGCACAGTATTACAATATGATATAATGGGATGGCTTTTGTGCTCCTTTCCATGTGGTTTTTGGGTTTAGGGTCCATGTGACTTGAATTGAAAGTCTTTTCTTAACATTCATACATCCATCTCTATATATATTACCACTTATACATCCAAATTCCATCTCATAACTTTATTTCTATCTCAATATATAATGTATCGATTTGTTTCTTTGTGGTAGCAGCCTATCCATGTAATCCATCCCATCCCGGGGCCCTGACTCGATGCAAACCTAGCTGCAGAGTCCAACAGTGCGGACCTGCAAAGCATTCAAGGACTATGACGAATGACTGCGACAAATCAATTTCAGTGATGTTCAGGCACAACTATATGCGCAAAAGGAATTAGCAACTTTATTGATCTTACTACCACTGCCTCGATCCGCCAAATTCGTATCCTGTCTCATGAGGGCGGTGTGCTTTGGGCCCCCCCAAGCAAGGTGGTTCTGGCAGGCGGCGGACATTGCTGGCCCCCTCAGCATTTCGACGGAGGGGTGAAGTTCGTACCATGTATTTGTACTTTGTATTGCTCAGACAGTTCTGGTTGCAATACAAGAATCAAAGTTAAACATCAAATAACTAAGCTGCTCACTAAGGTGTTGAGAAGACAAAGAACCGACCTGGCCCCCCGCCAGGGTGGGGGAACCATCCTATCCCCTGAAAGTCTTATAGGAGCAGGCCATAATTATATACCTATTATCAAAGTCTGAAGCTAAGGCCTAAGGCTGTTAATCTGAATATTGTAGAGATCTAAGACGACGACTCGACTATGTGCATCTCATCACAATACGTGACCAAGTGTGTAATGTCATGGCGAGCCTAACTAAAACTTGTGTCAGTCCCGATATTGTCCTGCAGAACCTTGAAGCGATCACTGCCCGCAGACTATCGCAGCTGTTGCATGCCATTCAGCATGGTCGAGTCCACTGGCACTGTGCTGCAAAACGATAAGTGCGCGCCATGCAAGCGCGCCGTTCCAGTGAGAAGTAGATCTGGGTGGCCTCCTCGAAGTCGCTCAGTTGGAAGTAGTGGTTCGTATGTTTGTTGTCGGATCGCATCCAGGAATTGGTCGTGCAGCCTTGCGCAAGTTCGGAAGCTGCCACTGTGTCCTCACCGCATCGATGAGGAACTCTCCCTGGTCAAGGCTCGCCTATGGATCTCCTAGTCCAAGGCCCAAAGCTCCTATACTCCTTGCTCACCCTTTTCATCACACATCTGTGATGCCCTTGGTGATCGCGGTGATGTTCTTCTCCAGGAAATAGCTAGTTACTTGCTTCTTCAAAATGACTTCGTTAACCATCAATTTGAAGCCAGTTGATCAATCTCAAACAAGTTCAATGGACCATCTCAAAGGGGATCACTTTGAAGAAGCAACAGAAAATAGTTTTTGCTTTTCTTTACTTAGAAAAGTCCGTCCGTCCAGAGAGAGGCCTATCTGCCCACAACAAGAGATCGGGGGGAACCGGGGTTACTGGCCCTGCAGGCCAAAGGTTATCATAGATTCAATTGGGAGGAAGTGACAATAGATGTACCATGGCTGATGGCAAGGCCATGGTACACCATCACCTCCATTGAAAGTCATAAGACCTGAGGAGGAGCCTGGACACGTATACCTTATATCGTGCGTGCGTGTGTCGATGGGATGGCGTGGTGAAGTCCCATTTCCATGTGAACCGGAAAAAAAAGGAAATGATCTTACTCGAAACCAGCATGTATAAACATGTCATGAGGGCTGTGTGCTTTGGGGCCCCCCAACCAAGGTGGTTTGCCATCTCCCCAAAAAGAAGCATAAACGGGCGGACCTGGCAGGCGGCGAACGTTTCTGGGCTGGGACAAGCACAGTATTACAATATGATATAATGGGATGGCCCTTGTGCTCCTTTCCATGTGGTTTTTGGGTTTAGGGTCCATGTGACTTGAATTGAAAGTCTTATCTTAACATTCATACATCCATCTCTATATATTAACACTCATACATCCATCTCTATTTCATATTGCTATTCTATCTCAATATATAATATATCGATTTGTCTCCTCGTGGTAGCAGCCTATCCATGTAATCCATCCCATCCCGGGGCCCTGACTCGATGCAAACCCAACTGCAGAGACCAACAGTGCGGACCTGCAAAGCATTCAAGCACTATAACTAATGACTGCGACAGATCACATTTGTTGATGTTCAGGCACAACTATATGCGCAAAAGGAATTGGCAGCTTGATTGATTTTCGATTGAGTGTCAGACCGATCTGCTTGACTCACGCCGATGCACTATGGTGAGACAGGATGCACTACGGTGAAACTGAATGTCCAGCAAAGATGCGCGCATCAACAAGTCTCAGACAGTTCTGGTTGACTCATGCTGATGCACTTCATTTTCAAATTTAATTGTCCTCCGTGGCTACCGCGGTCGATCCTTATCTGGGCACCTCCATGGCGCTGACCTTATTTGCAGCATCTGTGTGAATGCAGCAAGATCTGCTAGCCAGTCAGCTGGCTCCTCCGAGACATCCACAATGCAGTCGTTGCAGTGCCCGCAAATGTAACATCTCTCTGCCGCCATTGTCTTCCAAACATGTTCTATGCTTCTAGCTGTTTTTGAGATATATTTCATATGATGATGATGAAAGTGTGGTATTGTCACGGTCATGACCTTTGCCCAGCCAGCAGAGACTTGCTGAGATGTGTAGCTATCGTCTGACTCGTTTGGATCGCCGGGTTCTTGGTTGGCACCGCAGCAAATGCACATGGTGTCCGCCTCCTTCGAATGATACATTTTCTTCAAAACAGCTGGCCAACCAGCTTTTACCAGATAGTGCTCGGTCTTTGGTTGAAACGAATACTGCTTGGCCAATTCAGAGCTCCTAGGAACAAATGCAAGAATGTGTCGTAGAAGCTGCTCACCGAAGACATCCGCGTTTGCCATGGCAGACCACATTTAAATAACAAGATAATTTATGTGAGTTTGTTTGTTGTGGAAACTGTCATGTCCAACGATGTGGTCGCTGCCGCCGCGTATCCTTCAACACCAAGACCCATAATGGGCTGTCATCATCTCTTGCGTCTTCATTGTAAAACAGAATGTAATACAGTGTGAAATCGACCGTGTGCTCACGCATCCAAGATAGTGGCAAATGGCCCCAGAAATGGTGGCCCATGTCTGGAGGGCCGTTCATGAAGACTTGGTCGTAGATGTACAATTCTCTCGAACCAGCGTCCATCCAGTCATGGAAGGATAGCAACAGCGCATCATTCAAATCAACTGAATTTGTTTGAAACGACGTATACTGCAATCTCCCCGCAGCTGCAAAGCAATCGGCTGCCATGCGTGACTTGATGTTAGTACAGCTACAACATTTTGGGGACCTCAGTCGATTGCTAGAAACTTTCGAAGGTGGACTTGCATTCTTGCAATCTTTACTTGAATAATGGGCTTTTCGATAGTGTAGTCCACATGTGAGCAATAATCTGCAGCTTCCTGATGTCACATAAGCAAGCGTGAATATAAACAATGCCATCCTCTCCCGGGGCCCTGGCCTGATGAAGACCCAGCTGTGTAGAAGAACCGAAGACCTTCTAAGCATTCAAGCACCAAGACCTGCTGTGACAGATTACATTGAGTAATACTTTCGTATTGGCATGCTTTTGTATTAGATCTCATGGTTTTCTGCACAGATACTTTCCACTTTGTGTGAAAACTAAAGCAATGAGCAACTTTTTGTATCTTTTTGTCATGATGAAGTTGGGTGTAGCTGCCAAAGTCTCAGACAGTTCTGTTTGACTTCTGCCGCTGGCTTATGGTGAAACAGGATACATGATGCATTCATCAGCAAGTCTCAGACAGTTCTGGTTGACTCATGCTGATGCATTTCATTTTGAAATTGAAAAAAACGTGCTACCAAGGCTCGCAGTCTGCAAGCAAGTGGGAGCTAGGCTGTGCCATGTTGGAAATCCTGGCACCACTCAGAACGCTGTTGTTCCACCATCCACAATGCATCCAAAACATAGTCTCGATGGCGCCATGGGCGAAGAGATGGCCTCTTTGTGAGCAACAGCTTGATCGCATCCTCCGCGGTGTAGTCATAGGCCACAATAAGCCAAGCACACAAAATCGCAGCGCTGCGATTGATCCCACCAAAGCAATGAAACAAAATGTGCATGGGCTTGTCTTTGTTGACGGCAATGATTGACTGTTGCCACAGTCGAAGGCATATGCTTTTCCAGCTGGAGAGGCATTTCCTTTGCAATGCTTCGTGCCGTTCCAAGTCGCGGCCCGGCTGCTTCACTGTGATGTCATCCAACTGACAATGAATATGAACTACATCGCGCTCACGGAAATAATCTTTCCAATTGGATGGAGTTCCATGTGATCGCATCTCAGTCTCACACATGGAAACAACCACTGTTACGGAGACGCCAAGTTCTTCTTTGATGACATCCAAGTTGCAAGCGGCTTGCAAGCTGCCAAGCAGCACACTTGCCCTTTCTGTAGGCTTGCAAACAAGGCAACCATCCACAGGCCATGCAGCTATGGATGAGAAGCTGTAAGTGTGTTGGTAGATGATTTCGTCCAAGGCCGTCCATGAAGCAGTATCATTGTACGCATCCTGGATGTCCTTTTGCCTGGCTTGCGACCACTTCAGCATCACACGTTGCGCCATGGGTGAGCCTACCTGAGAACACCTGTGTCTTTTACCTGAGAAGAAAAAAGCTGCCACATCGTATATTCAAGCTGTGGAGTGAAGCACCTGGAAGCGACAAGACCAAGTTCATCAAGCAGGCAAATCTTTTGTGCAACTCAAGCACGAAACGCAAATTTGCTGTCACGCATCGAAACTCAGACAGTTCTGGTTGCTTCACATGCGAAACTTGCAACAAGAAATAATACTACGGAAACCTGAAGCAGTACTGGTGTGCTCGCTTGTGAAGCTCAGACAGATCCGGTTGCTTCACGCGCGATGCGTTAAAAACCAGTGAATTCTGCCAGGTTCGTAGTTGCTAATTGCATGCTGTCTTGAAAGCCAGCTGTCAGGCATTGTTCCACTTGCCAGCTTTCACTTTGGCAGGCGTTTCTACAATGAGATCAGCAGCAGGTCGTTTTTGGGTGGTGCTCATTTGCAGTCCACAGATGCCACGTCGCTCTGCTTCCACTGCGTCCATCTGCTCATCAGTCGTCAGCTTGAAGATCTTCTCAGCGATCACAGTCATGTTGGCACCTTGATCGTCGGCGGAAACTTTTCCCACCAACAGATGCACTTTGTGATCTGCCATGTTGAAATGGTGCGTTTGTTCCAGTTGGCAGAAAGCTTCAACAGAGAACGGTTTGGGATTTTTGGCAGCCACAGCGATGACCTTGGTGTGCTGCATCATGAAGACTTCCTCATCTCCAGTGCCCGATTTCTTGATGGTTGGCTCCTCATCGTCCGCGCGAACGAGCATACTGATGTACCCAGGGAAAATGGGTGCATCTTGCAATTTCACACCAAAGCCTGAAAAGAGCAGATCTTCATATGGACAAGCAATGGGATACACCATACCAACGGCTCTCTGGTTCTCCAAGCGCAGAATCTTGCGCACCATCGGCCGGCTCTGGTCATTGTATTCTTTGTACAACGCAGGCTGTGCAGCTACGACTTGAAACTGACATTCTGGCAATTGCACCGTTGCTGTTTCACTCTCTTGCGTCTGCAACACACCGGCAGTGGCTGCAGGCACATTGGATCGTGAAATGCCCGCTTTGCGGTTGTTTGTCGCTAGCCTCACGTCCACGGGCTGCTTGAAGCAAATTCCTGCTGGGCCACGTTTCTCTAAGAGTGTGAGAAGTTGCTCCTTGGAAGCTACAGCTGCCAGAGCTTGAAGATTTTGTTCGTCGACCAGAATTCTTTCAATCTCTCCAGTGTGATCTGCCAGATTCACTGTCGCCAAAATAGCGATCTCATCATCACGCTCCGTCTGACAACTGTGTGTGTCGTGCCGTTTGCAGTGTCCAGTGTCTGGGTCGATCTTTGTGCGGCAGTTTCTGCATGCCACATACGTGGGATTGCCTAAGACAGATGTCACCCACACACTGTTGAGCTGCACCTCGATGATGGTATCCTTTGCCTGCGGTGCAAAGAAGCAGTTCTTTTTTTTCTTTGTATCCTTTCCATTCAAAGATTTTTCAAACATTTCTTCTTTCAGTTCTTTTCTTTCAAGCAAACCAGACACAAACAACACACACGGACACAAACGCATACACACACTCACATATGGACCAATGTGGAAGAAAGGTGGCTAGAAGAATGGTAACAACTTTCCCAGGCCTCAGCTTCTTCATTGCTTGCGCTCAGGCAGCACGCACCGACTGTGGCACAGCAGGAAATGAACTTCTCCAAACCATCTGAAGTGAGGCGATGGGCGCCCGTCTGCAACCACGGTGTGGAGACCGCTTCACCTCTGTCATCGGACAACTGCTTCAAAACATTCACTCTTTCTCCCACTGGGTTGATGTGCAAAGCAGCAAACATATTCTTGCCGCTATCCATCCAATGCTCGGCACTTGCTTCCACGCTTCCATCCAACTTCTTTGACAACAGAGCATTGTCAATCTGAACAACATCGCCATTTGTCACTGTCACACACTGGCTCGTCATACGATGCCCCCATACGTTCACCGCAACTTCGTTCCTTGATTCATCTTTTAACCAGAGAGTCACTTTGGGCACCTTAGTTGGCGGTGTTTCCTTCAAGGTCACCTTCCCGATCACATCGGCACGCTCATACCCTTGGCAATGTTCTGTCAAAATCCCAAAGTTGGACCTCGCCACTGGAAACATATTGCGGAGAACCGCCGCAGCTGGATGGGATTCTGCGATTGGCGTCGCTTTCCCTGTTTTCGACACATCCGCCGAAAAGCCAGCCAGAAATGTCGAATGCTGCTTAATCTCTATCTGTGTGACCTGCAGAAATTTGGGTTGAAAAAACACTTTGGCTCTATCCTGAACTTCTCCTTGGGTGGAGCCTCTGATCTCTGCATACAATCCTTGCCCCTTTTTGTCTACCAAACGCACAATAGCTTTCCACCATGCTTTTTTGCCGGCGGCTTCAATTTTCTTGACATCGTGGTAAATGGGACGTAGCATCACTGCCACAAACTTGGCATTGTTCTTTGTGACTCTTTCCAGCGTCACTTCTTGCAAATTCATGTTGGCGGAAGAACTCTGCGGGAGCAAAGCAGCCAGTGCGGCGAGGACCATGTACGTATCACAGCAGATGTACGAGTAGTGGCAACAATAGATGCATCGTTCGGGCGAATTAAATCTGTTTGAAACTAAGTATATCACATACTCTTGGCAGCTGCGCAGAAATTCGTTGCCAGGTGTCACATGTTATTAATGTAGTTATAACATTTCACTTCTGCGTGCTGATATCTCGATCTTGTTCCATGCCACGTGGGACGCATGGGTTTCAGAGCGGCTAATGACGGCAAATGAAACTCAAGCAGAAACAATCCTTTCCATGCATAGTCCTGAAAATGATAAACCAACAGACACTACCGAATGCTATCCTTTTTCTACGCTGCTGTTACAGTCTGAGAAAGTAAACTGTTTGTCACTAAGAAGAACACGCATTCTCGGGCATCACGCATTGTTCCTTCCACAGCCTGTTTGCGAATGAAAATCAAGTACAAACAATGCTCTCACAGCAGCATTCTGAAAGGAAGAAACCAACAGACACTACCAATTGCAATCTTTTTTTCTACGCTGCTGTTGCATTCTGAGAAAGTTCTGTTTGCAGAAGACAGCTACAGATATATTACAAGCTACAGATGTATTGCTCAGACAGCTCTGGTTGCAATACAAGTAGCAAGTTTGAAATCAAATGGCATTTAGACAACAGGAGGCTACAGTGGCATCGCTCAGACAGTTCTGGTTGCAATGCCAACTGTTTGTCCTCCATTGCAAATTTACGCCGCTGCTCAACTGGCGACATGCATTTTCAGTCAACGTTCTTTTCGTCATGGCAGGACGTTGCGATTGGGCAGAGCTTTGTGACAGCTAAGCCTCATGATATATGGTTGCCTCGTATTCCGAAAAGCCACTAAGTGACGCTGGGTACCTGTTTCCTGAGCTCGCGCCCAATGAGGACGATGTTCTGCAAGCAATTTGCTGATACTCTGGTAATTGCGAAGGATGAAAGTATCCCCAGTGCAATCGCTCCAACGAAGATCCATATCATCAGGCGCAACATAGGAGCCCCAGGTCTTGTAGATGTACTCACCAATACAGCAAAGAAGATCACTGACTGAGGTGATTTGAATTTGACTAGGTTTCAAAAGGCATGAATATGTGAACAGTGCCAATTCTTCCGGGGCACGCAGGTCTGGAACGCATTCATTAGATGTGGCATCCATGGAGTCGTCTCTTCTCTCAGTCAGAAGTTCTTTGGTTTGATTGATATCAATCAACAGTAAAACTCTGCGGCTGTTGCGAAGACCTGGCATATAAGGTTCCATGTGTCTGCGAAAATGATCATGAGGAAGAGCAGGATTGGGGTTTCCCCATATCGGACGATCATCATCACGCGAGCGTGATCGTTCTCGCGCCATGGCGAAGGTGAGTCTGAACTTTTATCTGCCACTTCATGTTCCTCCAAAAATACATGGCCAAGCAGCTTTTCTCAGATGGTGTGCGGTTTCTGGAAGCAAAAAATAGTGGCTGAAATTCAGACAGCAATACCAAAATAATCTATATGACTTTGTTGCACATGGTTCCGACATGTCTTCTTCTAGAGCTGCCCATATGCACTACCAACAATGTTGTTCCATTCCGCGACAAGCTAGCATCCAATGAAGCGTTCACATGTTTTGTACTGCTTTGCACATCAAACTTCCGGCCTCCACGGATGGATCCTGCGGTTTCATTGCACAACCTGGCATCAAACGACAATCACATAGGACATGTTGATTGAACGGCGGCTACATGCACATGGCATATCTCAACTCACTTCTGATGCTGTGAAAATGCAATTCCATGGCACAACCTGGCCTCAAACGAAACTGATGCGGAACATATTGAACTAACTGAATATGGATATGAAGATATAGAATCATGCATAAGGAAGCAAACATTGATTTCAAATCTTCTCTGACAACCTACAGTTCAAAGACTCAAGTCTGATAATGTTAAAGTAAACTGTTTGCACCATTTCTGAAAGGAATAAACCAACAGACACTACAAATTGCAATCTTTTTTATACGCTGCTGTTGCATTCTGAGAAAGTTCTGTTTGCAGATGATTGCAATCAGTAGATTACAAGCTGCACGTTTGAAATTAAATCGCATTTGGACAACAGGAGGCTACAGTGGCATCGCTCAGACAGTTCTGGTTGCAATGCCCACTGTGCGTCCTCCGTTGCAACTTGAAGCACTACAGCTTAGCGACGCAACGGAAGCCTACAGTGGTATTGCTCAGACAGTTCCGGTTGCAATGCCAGCTGTAATTTCCCGTTGCAAATTTACGCCGCTGCTGAACTTGCGGAAGACATTTTTAGCCTCTCTGTGGTAAGCCACGATGAAATCCACTGCCATCGCACATGCAGAATTGCGATAGCCGTCGCTGCCAGATGGTCAATTTCTGTGTCAGACATCTCAAATTCATAAAAACACAATGTGGTACGCCAAGACATCTTCTCGATCTCTGCATCCTCCGTTTCATTCTTTCCAGCTCTGGGACGCAACCACTTCTTCAATGCTTCAATGGCATCTAGGATCTTGTCTGCTTGCAAACCATATTTGCAATGGTCACCATCTTCATCACCTTGGTGAAACCATCCAGCGTCAACGTGGCGAAACAGTCCAAGCACACGATCTGAATTAGCGAAGTTAAAGGCCGCTTCCTTTGAGCGCTCCCAACACTTGTGCTCAGCACGCTGCCTGTCTAGCTGACCGATGCGTTGAAGAGGCAGCATGTTGTGCACCAGTCGCAGCAAATCTTGCACCACTCGAAACACATGAGGCTCCCGATTGACGTCAGGAATTTGCGCGCTTCGATGTGCTCTTCTTGATTTCTTGGCTCTTGTTTTTTCATATGGCATCATTTGCTGCGAGCTTTCACGCTGCTCGTAGGTCACCGCCTGAGGACGATCTGGCCTTTGTGGTCGCGAAAAAAAACCACGCTGTCCCTGCACCACCCGAAACTGCGACGTCAAATCGTCGAGACTCTGCTTCATCATGGAGTCTTGCCACTGACCCAAATTCAAACCAGACAAGATAGCTCCTACAGCTTCACGACACACTTCACCCCAGGAGTCTTGGGCAATTCTGTCCCAAAAAATTGTGGCAATGTGTCCACTTGGATGCAGACAGCTTGTAATCTCAAACACTTCAGACGAAGCATTCTGCGATGCTGCCGCCAAGTTTGCACCATGTCTTTTGCAGATGCCAATAGTTTCTTCTCCACGCAACATCAACAACTTCTTTGGTGCAGCCAAGATAAACAAATGCCATTGATCAGAAGCATCCTCTTTGGGACTGCATTTCACCAACACTTCCACCTCAGAAGCGAGATCAGTTCGTGTCAGTCTGCATACCAATAAACTGGACACTTCTAAGAGCTCTGGACAAATTGTCGTGCCCCATTGATTGATTTCCCGAGGTGGTGGTGGATCATCTGCCCCACTTCTTGATTTCATGCTTGCATCTGTGGATGGCGCATTGACAGCTGCTGCACCACGCACTTCGGCTGCAGATGTCCTTGGCAACAAATTTTGGGTGAAAGGATACGGAAAGTTCGCCTCCTTGTCTCCCGTCTCAGGCTTCACTTGACGAATCTCCCTTTCCAGCTCTTGCAAATAAGATGGACTTGCCGATGGAAACCTCCGCGCACGTTGTCAAGAGGTCTGGGTACTTGCTATACCATTAGAGCTAAGTAAAGACACACGCTCATATGTAAAGATGTGAGAAGACATCATATGAGAAGTAACTGTCAACAGGCGAAAATGAAAAGCATAACCATATTATGCTATACCATATGCTACCAAGACACGTCCAGCGTTCTTGGCCCATTGTGTCAGTCACCAAAGCTCCGCGTATCAAAGTTTGCACTTTTTCATACGGAGCTTGCCAGCCATGGGCGATCGCATCCCTTTGGTGGGGCTGCATCAGGTTGTGATCTTGGTTGACCATCGTCTGCACAATCTTTTTGAAAGCACCTCCAATGTTTACATGCTCTGTTTTGTCTCGCAGTCCATCCAGATCGCAAAATACCCAGACTGGAGCTGAATGTGGCTCCCTTCCTTCTGCCAGGCCGACATTATCAATCTTGGCATCCCAAGGTATCACTTCCTGATGCACGAACCGGAACAGCAGACGCAAAATCTCGACCTGCATCTGAACATAGGATTCCCATGCCTGAGGCGTGCATTGCATTGTCGTGAAGAATGATGTCAATTTCGATTTGCCGGTGAAGATCAACTTCTCTGCAAGCAGGATAGATGCGTCACCGTCTCGCAGTGAAGAATCTCCTGTGAAAAAATCACCATGTATCATACTGGTCTTCTCCAAGAAGATTTGCCCGAAACAATACATCATTTCATTCTCCACTTTGTCTTTGTACTTGTCAAATCTATGCTGCTCTTCTCCCCACTCACGCTTGGTTCTGGCATCTGTATTCATCTTGACTACAAAATTGTAGTTGTCAAGCATGAACACATCTTTGAAGGCGCCGCTACCACAGCGAGTAACATTGTCTTGGATCGTGATGTCTTTCTGTCTCTGCGTCCTATCCCGGAGAACCAAAACAATGGTAGCACATTTAATCTTCTCTTGGCTTTTTCTTTTTTGAATTTTGACCCAATCCGTCTCAGTGACCTGCAGCCGCCCTCTCACCAGCTGGAAGTCTCTATACGTAGCCACAGTGGACATGGCAGTGATCGAGCGGGTCGTCGAAGCACGTGTTGCAGCTTCAAGTGATAACACATTGATAACATGTTGATACAAATCATTGATGTGAAAGAAGTGTAATGTCACCGAAAAACAAAGGAGTCACACGTGCCTGAACCGCACCCGCCTTTCAGACAGTTCCGGTTAAGACAGGCCGTTCCAGCACGTGTGACAATGTAGATGTATGACATGTATGGCAGAAATGGAAATTACAACTGCAGCTTGAGCTAAAACAATGATAGAAATTATTATTGACAAGCTTGAGCCGGGATGAAGACAAATAGCTCTTGCTGCCTTCAACAACTGCAAGTGTTCATGCTGCCACAGCCATGATCCCTGAAGCAAGTGTGCACCGTTTTTTCCAGATGCCAACAGGCGCACAGAAGAAGCAAAACACCACAGACATTTCCAAGCCTTTGATATCTTGGGGGCTGCAGCACCAGAGTGGCTTATGCCTTAGACATTCACAAGACTAGCTGCGCCTTGGTTGACATAAGTAAAGCAATCAATCATGGCAGCAGCCGAATGTGCGAATACGTCTGGACGTTTTCCGCGCAGGTTTTGCGCATGCATAGGTGAAACGATCTGCAACCTAAGTCCGCAACAGATGCGGCACGCTCAGACAGTTCTGGTTGCATGCCGCTGTTGCTTTGACAGATACCTGCCACCTTTCAATGCGAAAGTATACCTATTTTCACATAATTCCCAAACAGTAGCAACACGCTCAGACAGCTCTGGTTGCATGCTACTACTGCCTGGGCGTGAAAGTTACAAGTTGCAAGATGACAACCAGTCCTCAATCTCACTTGGAATCTGGCGAGTCATTTTCCCATCTTCATCTGTCTGTGCCCATTGCCTCACACCCTTCGAAGATGACGTGCAATGCAAATCAAAATTTGCTAACGAGCGATAATATTTCAAACACTGCAAGCAATCAGCTTGCCCGGCATATAGATATTCATATTCCTCTTGTCTTTCTGGCGTCATCTTTCGTTTCTTTTTGTGCTTGGTATCAAGTTCTGGACAATGAGGTGCAGCACTGCATTGCTCCAATTTCTCATAAGCTTGTATGGAACTTGCTGAGTCACTTTGGACGCTTGATTCTGAATTGCATCTCGCAGCGTGGATTCTTTTCCCAGGAGCCTGTGACGGTGCATGTGGCAGCTTTGACCAAAAAGTAGGTTTTCCACTGCTGCTGGCAGTTGCGTCATTACACAATGCTCGCCACCCTTCCAGATCTCTTGCAATCATGTTCAAGCGTGTTGCATATCGTGCAGAAGCATTGACGGCTATGTCCTGTATCTTTCGTTCAACTTCGAAAAGAGAAACATCTCGAGGAGACATCTGTTTTGCCCCAAGCAGCATGAGGAGGTATCGAAACTTTGCGAGAAGAAGACAAGCGCTTTCATGTTCTTCCACATGCAACCAAATCTGCATACTCCAGCATTAGCCCCTGCAATTCCCGCAAGTTTTCTTCGATGCGATCATGTCCACGATTTCCGGACCATTGGATCAGTCGCTGAGCGGCTTTTTCCACCTCTGGGAGTGTGGCATCGTCAATGTCAGACTCAACATTCAATTCCCGCAGCAACGCCTGGAATTTCAACTTTTGAAACTCTGCCAAAGTTCTTTGTGCTGTTGCAACATTGCCTCCATGGTTGCATCCAAGCAAGGTTCTAGTTACCACTGACGCTCTACTACCCTGTCTTTTTGCTGTTCCAACATTGCGTCCATGGCTTTTTCCAAACAATTCCAAACAAGCTTCTAGTTACCAAAGTCCACATGTTTTGGCTGCTTCAATGTGGTATCACTTCTCCAACAGCACAGGTTGTAGCAATCACTGCTTGAGCCATAGTACCGGATCGGACGCTGAAAAGCTATCAGATCCAAAGCTTGCAAGACCACAATTCAAACACCTCCAAAGATGCAGCCTGAGTTGCAAGCAGAGCTGTTGCCGTGCAACCACCATCTCCCAGAAGACCACCAAAGCAGACGAAAGAAAGTTCGCACATTGCCAATATGCTGGCAGCGACGACAAGAATGAATCGGTTCAAGATAAGAGAGATGAATTGCTTGACGGCATCATTGAGATGCCGTCAAGCAATTCATCTCTCTTCTCTTTAACTGGACTTTTCTGAGATGGAGGCCAGTGTCAGTGACAATTTAGTCCAGGGACCTGTGTGTTGAAAGTGCAAACCAAAGAAAGTTGGCAAATGGCAACAGCATGACGAAGTCAACAAACCCATGTTTTTATCTCATTCAATGTACCGCTCTGAAAAACTGCCACTGCATTGTAAACAGGTTTCTGAGCGCAGCGCGTGAGATTGCCATGCTTTCTCCTCCTAAACTGCACAACTTCAAGCAACCATGTAGGCTTCGTGACCACAATAAATGCAAAATGCTCCATCAACTTTTTTTGACGACCAAACAATGTAGACACCATGAAGGTGATGCAACTGCATTCATCGATTTTCTCCCTTTCTGCCACTCGATCCCTGTACCATCAAAGCACTCTGAAACTGCTACATCACCTTTCAGGTGAGAGCATGTGTTGTAACTCACACGGCAACATCATACTAGAACAACCAGCACACTACAAATCGTGTGCTTGAAGCCAAGCTTCAACATCCAATGGTATATCAACAGCCTGTCTCCGGCGTCTGCTCCTGCTCGTCGTGGCCCATTGACGGGCCGTTTTTCCGCAGGACACACATTTCACATTAAATCCTTCAATCGAACTATAAAATTCCATGCAAGTCAGGCAATGAGCTTGAGCAGCATACAGAAACATGTACTCCATTTTTTTTCGACTGTCAAGACTTCCATGTTTCGCCTCGAAATCGTCAATATGAGGCGCCAAGGAACATGCTGGTGCACCGTTGTCTGCTTGTGGCTGTTGTTGAGATGAAGTTCCTGCACCTGTCTGGTGCTCAGCACCATTGCCCGTTCCTGCATTCCAGTCTGGTGGCAGCTTTCTCACCAATTCGTCCCACGCATTGTTGAAGCGCTGATTGAATGCATTGCACGCTTCCTTCTTGTCATCATCCACACATTTGTCAAGGTGATTTTTGCGCAACAACTCCTTCCGCCGGATCTTCAAGATTTGAAAGTCTTCAAACGTAACAGCATACCAACTAGATTTCTGCAGCTGCAAAACTTCAAGTAACCAACTGATCTCAGCGGTAGCAGCACTCCACATGGCCAAGGCCACAGACGAATTTCAAGTAAGCAACTTTCAATCAGTTTCGGTTAAGGAAGCAGCAATGTCTGAAAACCTGTGCTAATTTGAAAGCAAGCACCACCCTTCGGACAGTTCCGGTTAGGGCAGCTACAATGTGACAACATATGGCAACATGAGCAATGTCTGAAAACCTGTGCTAATTTGAAAGCATGCACCACCCTTCGGACAGTTCCGGTTAGGGCAGCCACAATGTGACAACATATGGCAACATGTAAGCGAATGTTGAGTTCAAATATGATGTCTATCACTTTCCAATTGAGCAGCAGTGGGAAGCGGCTGGAAAAGACTCATCGCCATATGATAACTGCTGCTCATGATGGCACAAACACTTATGCAAGGCAAACTTATCGGAGCGCGCCTTTTTCCAGACAACCGACAGCTTGAGATGTCGCTTGAGATGTCCAACAGTTCCGTAGCACCAACAATAAAGAAATAAAGATATGTGAACCTATTTGCACCAATTTTGTCTGCCAGACAAGCGACTGCAATCTTGCTCAGACAGTTCTGGTTGCAAAATTGCAACTTCTTTAAAAAAAAGGTATCTGCTACACCTGACAATAGGCAACTTTGTCTCTGAACGAACTCTTGCTGGTGTTGTTGTTGTTGTTGTTGTTGTTGTTGTTCTTGTTCTTGTTCTTGTTCTTGTTCTTGTTGTTCTTGTTCTTGTTCTTGTTGTTGTTGTTGTTGTTGTCGTTGTTCTTGTTCTTGTTCTTGTTGTTGTTGTTGTTGTTGAACCTTTAAATGATGCCATGACATTCAGCATCAATCGTGTACAAAAGCGTCCCATCCGACGCCCGCCCCTCAGCTTCCAAGGGACCAAAGTACTGATACCATCCCTCGCCGATGGCTCTCAGCTTCTCCAGCACCTGAAGACACGCAAACAAACAGTTACCGAACATGCCATGGATGCATTTATTTCGAAAAGATTTCTCTTTGCCGTCAAAATACAACCAAATGGGTGATGCCATGCGTAGTAAATGTAACCTTGTGCGCTCCGATCTCCTTGATGTGCCCTCCTTTAAGATCCGTGTCGTGGCAGCGCTGGATGGCCTGCATTTGTGGCTCAAATGGATGCGTTTGAAATGCAAACAAAGAATTGACATTCCAGCTCAAAATGTGGCAACGAAAGACGACCCGTGTCCGGGCCTCTAAAGCAGTACTTTTCAGACCCTTTCATTTTGGTTTATTCATTCAATCACTTGTTTCATTCTACTGATGTCCATTCATTGTTTGTGGTTTTGGTAGTGGTTTGAATGCCAGACTCAGACCAGATCAGGTTACAAATTCAACTGTCAATTGAATCAAATTAACCAACAGCATGATGAACGACATAATTGATTGATTTGTAGAATCACTTGAACCATGTTGGTGCTTCAAAGCTGCTACACAGCTAAGTTCCAGCTTGTGTCAACTCAATCATTTGACTTTATAAACTTCCCAGGACTCACTGGTCAGCTGATGCGCCACAACTTAATTTGACTTTGACTTGGATGAGTGTGATGCAGCTTGCCATGTGGAATTCATGTCCACAAAATGACTCTGAGATTGATTGAAACAGATTCTATTTTGCAACTCAATCAGGCAGGAATAATGATGTTGATGTTGATCTTCTTCTATGAGCTTGATAAAATTCATCATCTATCATTGATGCAAACTTGTGCATACAAACAGTCACAAACAAAGTAGACTTGCATTGCCACTGACAGGCATACTCTACCAGTCTTCTATGCAGGCCCTTTCAAATGATGAGAGGTGTGATGTTATTGTTTTTGCTGATCTAACCAACTGTTAACTAAGCATGGGTGCACCGAGCCTTGCTGCAAAGCATGGCAGGCACACTGCAAAGTGTGGCGTGTATGCTGCAAAGCATGCTAGGAATGCTGCAAAGTGTGGTATGCATGCTGCAAAGCATGCTAGGAATGCTGCAAAGTGTGGTATGCATGCTGCAAAGCATGCTAGGCATGCTGCAAAGCATGCCAGGCATGCTGCAAAGTGTGGCAGGCATTCTGCAAAGCATGCTAGGCACGCTGATGCACACTGCAAAGTGTGATATGCATGCTGCAAAGCATGCTAGGACTGCTGCATAGCATAGCAAGCATGATAGACAGGCAGGAATGCATGGATCTACTGCATCTTGTGCTCATTTGAATTCTCAGGAGGTATGCAAGTGGGCTGGTGGTTGTGATGACTAGTCATTCATTCATTCAATGCAGTCATGTGCATCCAATACAGTCTTAACCCCTGACTGGCATTAATGTACTGTCTTCTGTGCAGGCCTCTTTGGATGATGACGTGGTGGTGCTTAGACCCTCAGTTTTTTTTGCTGAAGTCTAATCATCTGTTAACTATATTCATTATATTTTTCCTCAAAAGCATGGGTCCACCAAGCCTTGCTCACATAATGCTTGCAAAGCATGGCAGGCATGCTGCAAAGGGGAAAGGGGGGAAGGGGGGAGGGGAAGGGGGGGAGGAGGGGAAGGAGGAGGGAGGAGGGGGAGGAGGGGGAAGGGCAGGTAATTTTGGACAAACAATCATCGCTGAAATGCTAAAACGCATGATGGAAGTGCTGCAAAGCACAATGTGGGTGCAGCAATGCACAGTATGTAGTGCTGCAGCAAAACACAAGCTGCAAAGCACAGAGTGTGTGTGTGTGTGTGTTTTTTCCTACACACCTATTTTATGTCTGCAATAGGTCTGTGCCAGCCTTCAACGACTTTCTCGTTGGTTCCAATGGGTTAGGAATCTTAAGGCCATGAATTGCCGCTGGAAAAAGTGCCATGTCTAGGTCTTACAATTGGAAAATGAAACAGCAACAAAAAGAGTCAGCCAAATCTACGGGTCGCCCTCAGTCTCACTCTTGTCTCTCAGATGTGCTCCAGGTTGAGCTTGCAGCAAGTGAAGAAACTCGTGCATCGTCCCCCCAGCCTGATCTGCCTTGTTCAGCTCAGGAGTCGGCAGGTGCTGAGAATCGTCAGAGCCATGGGTTGAAGTGGCATGATAGTATGGGAGTCGCAGGCAGTCTGTGCGTAGCATCCAAACCGTGATCACATTGCCAGCAAACCATGTCGGATATTTCCATACCGCCTGTGGGCGCTGATCATCTTCCGTGATCAGCCAGGCTGCAGGGTGAGAGGAGTCAATCAGGGTGGGTTGCATCTTCAAAATGGCCTTGCAATGGCCTGCCATGTCCTGTCCAAAGTGTGCCACTGCTGCCACAGGGATGTAATCTGCTGAGGCGCAGGTCAATCCAGCTGTGCGGAAGACTGGTACAGTCACAGCAGTTTCAATGTCAATGCGACATAAGCTCTTGGTCACCGCGCCTGCCTCATCTTCACGCATGCGATCAATGTGTAGACAAAGGCAGGCTGGGGCATCCAGCAGCGCCGTGCACATCGATTGCTCCTGGGTCCAATCAGTCACCAAGGCAGCCAAATTGCAAAAACCAACTGAATGATATTGTGGTGCAATGGAAAGAATGATGGGGGTGTGCATGTTGCTTGAATCAAACTTCTGGATGTCTGTGGCAACTGCAAGCCGTCTTTCCCAACGCATGTCAAACGCTGATGATTGCAACCAAGCCAAAGCTCTCTGAGCACATTCGGCGCAGTCTTTCTGGCCCAGTGCATCTCCCCAATTGTGCACAATGTCCTGAAACCACACTTCTGCCTGTAGGCTTGCTGGTGTATCAGCATGCCTTTGCAAAAAAGAAATCAAGGTCTCACCGTGCAATCCCCAAAGGTCCTTCATGGGTACCTGTAGACACAAAAGAGTCCAGATCAAGCTATGAATGGTACCATTGCCATAGCACCAATTGCGGTCATTCTGGAACTGCAGACCACAAGCGATCTTTGTCAGAGTTGCCACAAGGTCAGAACTCAGGACGCTGACTTGGGTGTGGCCTGTTTCTTCTGGGGCCTGTGCTTGCCCTTGCCTCGGCCCTTCTGTCCCAGCATCGTCTGCAGGTGAGTTGCCATGGGAGATTGATTCAATGAATGTGGTTTCATTGTTGCGCCAACCACCATCCAAATCGCATTGAAGGAGATCTGATGCAGCAGCTCGTAAGCTCTGTCCCTCCTGAGGTTGATTTGCATTCTCCATGGAATCACGCGATCCAACTGGGAGTCCGGTGTCCTCAGTGCATGAAAACGAACCACCAGCTCCGGGTCTTGCATCATCTCGGTGAGCTCCTCCAAGTGCTGGTCCATTTTGGTGCCCGTCACCGGGGATTTCTTGTCCAGCACCAATTGTTGGGCTTGTGGGTCCCAACGATGAAATGGAAAGCTTCTGTCCGCTAAGATCAAGCCCTTGGCCAGCGACGTGGTGAACAGTTGATCCGTCTCGTTGCACTTCATGAGCTGGGCCAGTCTGTCCCGCATCTTGTTCAGCAGTGCAAGCACCAGATGTTGTCTCAGGGGCATCATCAGAGACTTGGACTTCTTCCTCCACTGAACCGTCGCCTCCATCAGGAGGTGAAGCGCACCTGTTGGATCGGGATTCAAAAAAAGAATGTATTGATCCATTTTTCGGAGGCTTTGCAGCTCCTGATCGTGACGGATCAGCAGATTGGCCATGGTGGTCAGCATCTGCAGTGCCGGCTGCTGTTGTGGCACGTCTGGAGGAAGATCTGCCATCTCTGTGTCTCTGCCGTTTTGGTCGTCTCTCTTGCGTGCTTTGGCCTGTCGTGGGTTCTCCTGGAGTTTCAGTGTCGGGTCCCTGAAGAGGCTGGCCAGCGCTCCAAACGCCTCCTTCATTTGTTCTGCGGCTGCCATCTCCTGGAGATCCATGAGAGAGTGGGCCACCAGCCAAGAGGGCTCCAAAGAGCTGAGCCAGCTGCAGCAAAACAGGGCAGGAGCCACGCAAGTGAGAGTGAGCCAAATGAGCTCTTTCAGACAGCAATTCATCAGGTCGCAACGTGGCAGGCAAATTGTAAATCAGTTCACACAAATGGCACTGGAAATCATCCAAGTTCTGGGCAAGCGCAACTGGCAGAAGTTGTTCCATGTAAAACAGAAAAATCTCATTCTGACAGTGATGCTCCTCGCGGATGTGAAGCGCAAGGTCAGCTGTGTGAAGCCGCTCACCGCAGAGGATGCATTGTTGGCGCATCAGCTGCAAAATCATTGGGTCCTTCCAGGTGTCTGCAAAATTTCTGTGAACCAAAGCCTGTTCAAGCCTGTAACGCATGGGTCTGGGCAATGTGGCAGCCAAGATCTCCTGAAACATCTGATCTGTGATCACCGTTGGTGCAAAGGGCTCAGTGTCCAAACGATGAAAAGCCATTGCCAGTTGCCTGAACGGAAGCTGTCCACGTTTGACCCCTGTAGAGGGATTGCAAAAGCACTGCAAACGATAAAAGACAGAAACAAGGATCATCGTGAGTCGTTGTGACAAGCGCCATAGCCTGGAGTGAGCCGATTGCAGATGCAAAGACAAATCTGCAGCACGTTGACAGCCCTTGCCACAGGCCTGACAGACCACAGTCAAGCGCAGTCTTGCTTGGGGACTGCGCAAGATCTCAAGAAATTTGCCCTCCAAGCAGGCCTGTTGCCACATCTCATCCACCTTCAGTGTTTCTGCTGAGGCTTGGGGATTGAAATATATGCATCGGCCCTGCACTATGTGGGACTTGAGTCCACTGACCGTCAAAAATAACTGTCCACAATGTGCGCAAGCTGAGGAGCCGTCCAGAGAGTCTCGACTGGAGTTGAAGCTCAAGCCCTGCAGACCATGTTGTACCTGCAAATGCTGCACCAGATCAGTCGTGGTGGGGAAGCTCTCAAGGCAAATCTCACACCTTCTGCGCACGTCATGTACAGGCTCAATGTCTGGGGTGTCGACAGCAGCGCCGTTCACCAAAAGGACAGCTATCTGAGACCAGATGGGGCATGAGTGAGTCCGAAAATACGACCCACAGCATCCACAAGGGCTTTCTGATGAAAAAAGATTGGTGAGCTGAATCGCCTTCTGAGGTGCGTACTCCCACAAGTCGGGATGTTGCAAACGAAAATGTTGATGAAGTTCTTGGCATCTGCCAACACGATGAGAGCAAATGATGCATTGGGTTGAAAGGTAGGCACACGCCTCAGCCTCCTGCTCCACCTTCTCCCAATCTCTATCGTGAACAATCTGCAAGAGGCGTGGCCCAAAGGCCTGTTGGTTCAGATTGTGAAGTTCATCTGCCGTGATCATGCGCAACCCCCGTGCTGCTGCCATTGGAGTAGTCACGGGTGCAATGGAGCTGATGGTTGCACCTGTTGGTTCCAAAGTCACTGTGCAGGAAGACGGTCCAATGTGTAGCACCTGGCACCCACGTTCAATGTGACTCTGAAACATGCGCCATGTAGTGAATTGCTTGTGACAAAACTTACATGTAGGGAGCCCTTCAACTGTAAAATTGTGTGCCATCACATGTTTGGTACGAAACATAGTTTGGCCATGCGCTCTGGTGCAATGCCGTCTGAAAGTGCTGACATTCTCCGTGCAAAAGTCACAAAGAGCACATTGGAAGAATGGGGTGTCAGCACCTGCCTGTGGGCTATGTAGCACGGGTGTCACCAAAGAAGTGGCCTGCACAGTGTCCAGTTGATGTATGAGAGCAGGTAGATGACCCCATGTGATCGTGTGAACAAGATCATGTAGAGGTACATGCATACTGCGTTCAGTCAGGGTCCTCAGGAGGTTTTCCGCAGTGGCATGCAACAAGCGCGCCGGAGATCTTAAATGATGATCTGTCAGAACCTGTTGATTGGTGCGTCTTGTGACATAGGAGTGATCCTGCAACAATTTTCTAATCATGACCATCATGTGCTTCGTGGCCAGTTGAATGCCATTGTGTGTCAACCCCAATGCAAAAATGCCATAGCTCAAAATCGGATAAACGCATGTAAGCCATAGTTTGTAGCGTTGCGCACTTGTGAGGCAATGTTTGCCTGTGAGCCACTTCTGCAAACGTCGAAAGCCCGTGTGCATCAAGCTCAACCGATGTTTCAGGCTGTCATCTTCAAAGTTTCCATAACTGATCACAACCCCCAGATATTTGGTAGATTTGCAAATGGGGATGTACACTGTCTCGGCATTGGGCAGCACGATTTTCAGGCTGTCGCCAGTGTGGTCATGTTGTACCAATTGCCTTTTGACGGCAAGACTCTGTCGGCCGCGCAGCTCAATGATTGCAGCTGACTTGCTCGTGTTAATGTGCAAATCCATGGATGCGAAGGTTGAAATGAGAAAACCTAGTGCTCGATGAAAAAAATAAAAATCCTCCAACGAGACAAAGGAGTCCCCAATATGCAGATCGTCAGCGTAAATTGTGACGCATCTTTGGATCCAGGAAAAAGGTGTGTGTGCCATCAAATCATGCAACATGAGAACAATGAAGCCATTCCACAATCCAGGTGCCGCCTTGCACCCCTGTCTCACTCCCTTTCCAACAGCAATGGGGCTATCTGTGTGTTCATGTTGCACAAAGTAGCAAGCATCTTCATGCCACGTGGCCAACAAATTAATGAGGGCATCACTGATGTGAAGCTCCCTCAGTCTGGCAAAAAGTTTGCAGCGGTTGACACTGTCGAATGCACCACGGAGATCAATGCAAATTTGGGCCCCCCCGTAAAAAGAAAATTGGTGGATTTGCAGTGCCCTTGTGTGGGGGGTGGATCGTTGTTGGCAAACGAGCAATCGAACCGCCGCACAATGCAAGCCTACTCTTCGGATCGCATCAAGAGTTGACCTATTTTCTAAATATGCCCAAAGGGGGAAAAGGATTAAATGGTCTGAAGCCTCTTTCATGGCTAGATGGATAAGTAGCCCTATGATGGCCTTACCTATCGGTTCCTGGAGGGCCAACGGCCTCAAGTTATTGGGGGTCACCGGAGGCTTGGAAGGTTTCGGGATCATGAATAGCCATCCATGGCGCCATGAACTCGGTATGATTGGGGGATTAAAAGACCACCAGGTGCATAATTTTTCATGGATGAGTGGTGCAAGAAGGCTCGAATGCTGGCGCCAAACCACGCCAGGGGCAAATGGCTTGGCGACCGCCTTGGTCGTGGGAATCAAGGCAATGGCTCTCTCAAGCTGTCTCACCGTGAAAGGTACACCTGGGGCTTCATCAAAACGCAAGTTCATGGAGCTGGGTCCAGACCATGTATCCATCACAAATTTGTTCATGAGTGCTGCTCCTTCAATCGGGCTGGCCATGTAGCCATGCTGATTTCTGAGTTGGATCTGCTTTCTGGGCTGTTTGGGTGCAAACCGATTGATTAGTTGGAAAAGTTTGTGAGTGTCATGTTTGGCTGCCGCAGCAGCTGCTTCATTGACAATGCCTTGAAACTGTAATTTCCTAGTGAGATGGGACTGCCTACGATGAAAACGTTTCAAAACAGCAAACTTGGTGGCATGAAACCAAACTCTGAAAACATTTCGAGCTGTGCCCAGGCCTGGCCTCAGCATCTGTCGTCGATGCTCCCACTTGTTGAGCAATGTCGGGAGGGCCACCCGCCAATGTTCAGGGTTGCGCTTGTTTTGGCCAGCAGGAAAATGCAAATGAAAAGTGTTCATCATCCTTGAGTGCATCTGCCCCAGGAAATCATCTGCAGTTGTTTCTGCGGCTTGAAAAACATGCTTAAGTTGATCTGCCGTTTGCTGAGTGAAATCTCTCCATTCCTGTGAGTCAGTCATGTACGCCTGTCGACTCTGCTGTCTTTGTTGCATTGTCACCTGTTGGATCCGACGGTGTGAATGAAGCGGAATCCACTGTTTGGCCACAGTGCAGAGCATGGGAGCATGGCCATATTCTTGTTGCGCCAAGAAAGGGGCATCCCATAAGTACTGCACGTTCTTGGATTCACCATCCGCATGCATTTGCCGCAGGCATATGTAATCCAGTCTGCTGGCCACCTCGCCATGCACATACGTTGGGCCCAATCTAGATGACCAAGTATTGACAGCAATCAGTGCAAAATGTCTCAAAATTTGCAAGAGGCGTGCCTGATCTGTATGTTTTGTACCAGCATGAGATTTGCCCCGCCATTTGAAGGTGGAGGTACCTATGACTCTGGGAGTAGCACTCAGGGAGCTGTTGAAATCTCCCATGAGGATTAGTCCATTCCGTGTAGGAAGTCCTGAAAGGACCTGTTCCAACAAACAGAACCATCTCTCGCGCAGCTTCAGACATTGGGGTGTATGCTGAAATGTGTGCTGGTAACAAGCCACAACATCCAAATTACGGTGGGTGTGTGTGTGTGTGTGTGTGTGTGTGTGTGTGTGTGTGTGTGTGTGTGTGTGTGTGTGTGTGTGTGTGTGTGTGTGTGTGTGTGGTGTGTGTGTGGTGTGTGTGTGTGTGTGTGTGTGTGTGTGTGTGTGTGTGTGTGTGTGTGTGTGTGTGTGTGTGTGTGTGTGTGTGTGTGTGTGTGTGTGTGTGTGTGTGTGTGTGTGTGTTGCAAGGCATGGTGTAGGCATGCTGCAAAGCATAGTGTTTGCTGCTGCAAAGCATTGTGTGCTGCTTCAAAATTCAGCATGTGCTGCCAAGCACCTTGATAGTGTACAAAGCACCTTTGCAGCATTGTGCCTACCATGCTTTGTAGCATGTCCAACACATTTTGCAGCATGTCAACCATGTTTTTATGCATCTGACAAACGCTAACAGTCACTAACCTCACTGACTGTTTAGCATCAATCACACAATGTTGTCTTGTGACAACACCCACGGAAACCAAGGTTTTCATGTGGAGGTTCAGTGATGTGTGTCCTGGCATTGTTTGGCGTGCATGCACTGCATGCACACACACATGATGATCTCACTGCACATATTATGTTTTGTGCTGCAAAGCCCATTCATGTGTGCTGCAAAGCACCCTCCGTGCTGCAAGCACCCTCCGTGCTGCAAAGCACCCTCCGTGCTGCAAAGCACCCTCTGCGCTGCAAAGCACCAGGTGCTGCAAAGCAACCTCTGTGCTGCAAAGCACCACATACTATGTGCTGCAAAGGTATTGTCTGTGCTGCAAAGCAACAGACTCTGACACTTCTGCTGTTCTTACTGATGCTGCATGGTATGTTCAATGCCACAAAGACTGTGATTTACTGCAGTTATCTGCCAGGCTATGTTGGATGTATCTATGATGATGACAATGGGAAGATGAGTAGAACCTTGGATTGTGATTTGGAAATTGTTTGTTACTTGGAAATGACTACCTGGATGTGTTGGATGCATCTATGATCATGATTTAGAAATGAGTGCTTGGACTATTTGAGCTTGCATCAAACATAGTGACATAGTTCATGTGCCGGCTGCAATCAAATTTTGGCTCTCACCAGTGACATGTTTTTCATTGTCACAAAATCATAATTCTCAATGTTGGACTGGAGATAATTCGAGATAAATCACTGGATCAGCCATTGAAATGTTCTCAGACACACACACTCACTGGCATATCATTAATCAGCATTTTCACATTGACATATTTTCGCACCTTTGACACCTCACTGACCGTCACAAATCAGCCATCAAAATGTACTCAGAGATACACTGACAGTCACTTTATATCATTGCACCTTTGCTGTATCACATCTCACCCCCTCCCGCCGGGAACTGCGCAGGTGTCAGAGACAGGCAGTAAGCAGAGTCAGCTTTCACACCTGATCACATTATAGACCTTAAAGACAAGCAGCAGTCATCAATCAACATAACCCCAATCAGCTCAGACTTCAGGGCATAGATAGACTTTAATTTAGATCTGACACCTGACGTGCAGCGCAGCCATGGGGCCGAAGCGCAACAGAGCAGGGAAGGCCCCGTCAGGCGACCGTGAGCGGGAGCAAATCCGCCTGCTGTGGGCTTTGCTGGAATGGGTGGTCCAGCAATTGGGCTTCACTGGGGGTGCCAATAACCTGGCGAGGCACCTGCTGTTGGCCAGGGACTCGGCAGCAGAGGCCTCCGCTGCAGTGAACACTGCTGCAGTGCTGGCAGCGATGCCCCGAGCCCCTTGCCAATATGCCATGATGGGAGCAGCAGGCCCACCTGCCCCAGCTGCCCCAGCTGCTCCCAGCCGCCCCAGCTGCCCTGCTCCCAGCTGCCCCGCTCCATGTGCACCAACAGCACCAGCAGCTCCAGCTGAAACAAAAGCCCCTCACCCTGGACAAGCAGCAGCCCCTGGCCCTGGACCGCTGCTCCCAAAGCACCCACAGCACCCACACCAGAGTGGGGGGCACCTTCAGGAAGAGTGCCACCTCCCCTGAGGCCACCTCGTCAAGGGGCACCACCTGCAGCACCACCAATGGGTCCAGCTGCTTCCAGACCGAGAGATCCAAGAGGAATACCAGCCCCAGCTGCTCCCAGAGCACCCACACCAGAGTCAGGGGCACGACCTGGAGCACCTTGGCAAACAGGGCCAGCACCAGGGGGGGACCACCCATGTCAGCAGCACCAGCAGGGGGCACGACCAGGGGCACCACCCATGTCAAATACACCTCCAGGAGCACCACCAGCACCACCCATGTCAGGAGCACCAGCACGGGCACGACCAGGGGCACCCATGTCAAAAACACATCCAGGAGCACGACCAGCACCACCCATGTGGGGCACCACCTCCATGTCAGCACCACCACCAGACGGGGGCACCAGCAGGGGCACGACCAGGGGCACCACCCATGTCAGCAGGGGCACCACAGGGGCACGACCAGGGGCACCAGCAGGGGCACGACCAGCGGCACCACCCACGTCAGGGGCACCTCCAGCGGCACTGCCTGCAGCACCACCTGCAGAGAGGTCCAGGAGGCCATTGCCGAAGCCATTACCAGCTTCAATATGGGAGCCTATCGGGGGAAAAGCTCCTGCAGAGAAGGCCTGCGCCTCAGCATGCACAGAAATCAATAAATCATTTTTTAGTTCTTGTGTCAATGTAGTTAATTTACTAGTCAATTGTTTTTTGACTTAACTGTGTTCAGGCCAGACCTACTGATCCGAGAAATGTGATCAGATCGAAGGCTTGCTGTGAAAGTTTTTTATTTCTGAGTTATTGTCTTGTTTTCTTGGTGCAAATACAATCTGTCCACCAGGCCACAGGAAGAGGAGAGACAGAAGGAAAAGCAGGGCCCAAGGAAGCTGTCAAGGTGCCACTTGCCAAACCTGCTGCTTTTTTCCCCACATTGACGTGTGGGGTTTTTGTTTTTAGTTCTGTATCCGCTCCTCGTCCTCCTCCTCCTCCTTCCCGTCCTCCCTCCTCACTCACACACACACACTCACTCACTCTCACTCACTCACTCACACTCACTCACTCTCACTCACTCACTCACTCACACTCACTCACTCACACACACACTCACTCACTCACTCTCACTCACTCACACTCACTCACTCTCACTCACTCACTCACTCACGCACGCACGCACGCACTCACTCACTCACTCACTCACTCAAGGACAATTGGTGGTATATAGGAAGGGGGACGCGAGAAGGGTTCTATTTTGGTATGTATATATATATTTGTATACACATGGACAAAAAATCATTCATATATATATATATACATATGCATATATATATATATACACATTGGAAAAGCGTTTTTGGCACAATTGTTTTTTTTCTGGGATAAGGGGACATCTTGGCTATATAACAAATATATATATATATATAATATATATATAATATATATATAATATATATATATATACAAATATGTTCTTTTCTTCTCCAAACCCAGGAGCATCCACCCAAAGAGCCCGAAGAGCTTGGCGCAGAGGCCAAGGACACCGGAGAGTGTGGCAGAGGGAACAAAGGCGTTTGGAAGGGTGCTGGAAATCAAAAGAAACATGCTGGTCGCCCCCTTATTTACGGTGGGTTTTGGCCGGGGGTCTTTTGAATTGAAATAAGAAGAGTTAGAATGTGGCTGATTGGGTTCTTCCTGTCTTGATTTTTTTGGTGGTTGCAGGATCCACCAGCAGATTTACCAACAGAACAGCTGGAAGCCAAAGACCAGGGAGCCGACGTGAGCCACGAAGCAGCCCAGGACAATTGGTGGTATATAGGAAGGGGACGCGAGAAGGGCTCAATTTTGGTATGTATATATATATACATATATTTGTATACACATGGACAAAAAATCATACATATATATATATATATACATATGCATATATCCTATCTAATATTTATCTCAGTTCCAGATAGGTGCCGTGATATCCAGCTATAAGATACGTACCTACGCTTGGGCGCTTGGGAGCTGTGTACGCTTTGGGGTAGGTACGCTGTAACTTAGTAAGGTAACGTTGGTACCCTTACCACCGTACCGACCGTAAACCGACCGTACCAGTACCCGTCAAACCGTACCACCGTCCGTACCATATTAGGGGGGGTCCAAAGGGGGGCGTTTTTTGGATGTACCGCATACTAAATTACTAAAATTTAAATATATATTATAATTTATAATATTGTTACATCCCAAAACGCCCCCCCCTTGACCCCTCCCCTTAACGGGAACGGGTCGGTGGGACGGGTGTTATGTACGGTTCACTGTACGGTCCGGTACGTTTGGAAGCGGACAAACGTACCTTAACTAAGCGTACCAAGCGTACCGACCCAAAGCGTACCAACCGTACGTCACCACATTACACCGTAACCGTACCAAGAAACCAAACCTACCAGCCGTACGTACCGACATTTGGATCTTACTTACGCCTCTACCACCTATCTTGAACCCTATGCTAAAATATATATATATATATACACATTGGAAAAGCGTTTTTGGCACAATGTTTTTTTTCTGGGATGAGGGGACATCTTGGCTATATAACAAATATATATATATATATATATATACAAGTACAAATATGTTCTTTTCTTCTCCAAACCCAGGAGCATCCACCCAAAGAGCCCGAAGAGCTTGGAGCAGAGGCCAAGGACACCGGAGAGTGTGGCAGAGGGAACAAAGGCGTTTGGAAGGGTGCTGGAAATCAAAAGAAACATGCTGGTCGCCCCCTTATTTACGGTGGGTTTTGGCCGGGGTCTTTTGAATTGAAATAAGAAGAGTTAGAATGTGGCTGATTGGGTTCTTCCTGTCTTGATTTTTTTGGTGGTTGCAGGATCCACCAGCAGATTTACCAACAGAACAGCTGGAAGCCAAAGACCAGGGAGCCGACGTGAGCCACGAAGCAGCCCAGGACAATTGGTGGTATATAGGATGGGGGACTGGAGAGGGGTGCTACTCTGCGAAAAAAATGTATATATACATGGAAATTGATAAACAAATAAATGAATATAGAAATATAAATATGTATGTATATATATATATATAGATATTGGAAAAGAGATTTTGGCAGGATGGGTTCTTTCTGGGATGAGTTGACATCTTGGCTCACAAATAATATACGCCCATGCTCTTTTCTTCTGCCAACCTAGGAGCATCCACTTCAAGAGCCAGAAGAGCTTGACGCAGAGGCCAAGGACACCGGAGAGTGTGGCAGAGGGAACAAAGGCGTTTGGAAGGGTGCTGGAAATCAAAAGAAACATGCTGGTCGCCCCCTTATTTACGGTGGGTTTTGGCCGGGGTCTTTTGAATTGAAATAAGAAGAGTTAGAATGTGGCTGATTGGGTTCCGGGATACTGGCAAAAGGTCCGGCCCATGGTGACATGAACCCCTACCCTTGGGTAATATCTACGCACCTAATGGTGTATGTGCAAAAAGACCAAAGGTGTGTATATATAGTTTTGCAATATATGCAAAAAGGTATCTACATACTGTTTTCTTGTGTAAATATTATATACATTCACTATACATATATATTTATTGATTTATATACTTATTTATAACTAGGAACTGGAAAGGGTTAACTATACAAAATACTTGTATTTCACAAAGTTACCCGCAAGGGCAACCCTTACATATATATATACATACATTTACATACACACATACATATGTGTATATTCATATGTTCGCCACCTTGCTCCCCATCTTTCCAGCTGTATTTATATATATATAAATACATTTCTATAGGAGGATCTGCCAAAAGAGCTTGAACCCATGGAGCCCCACCGTCATTCAGTGGAGGACAGTTGAGGGGTACGAAGACGGGCAAGCCCATACAGAATCAGAGTTTGATTTGAAATGGTGTTTTCTTGTCATTTTTGGGTACCGCTGGACCACTATGGTGTTCAGGAGAAATGGAAAAAGGTTGTCCACTTTCCTATGAACAAGACGTGGTACTGTGCTATCAAGAGTGGTAGCAAAGTCTGGGAATTTCGAAGGGCCTCATTGTGGCGAGCACGATGTGAGGGAGCCACTCATGCAGTCTTCCGTTTGGGACCTTCGCTGGCACTACTTACCTTTTAAAGTTCTTATCGAAAACGGTAAAAAACAAAGGGGAATTGGCCATGTTGGTTTTTGTCTTTGACTTCTTTGGCCATCTCAGGTTACACCAAAACTTACTTGGGGCCCACGAAGATCTTGGACATGAGAATCCTTACGGTTGAAGATGCCCGAGATCTTGGATGTCCTGTTGAAGATTCAAACATGTTCGATGGGGGTGAGATCATTGGACTTCGCTTTGAGCGCTTTCAGGAAAGCTGGCCATCCCTTGAGAGTTCTGTCGCTCTTGGCATCTATCATTGTTTTCAGCATAAAGGTGCAAATATGCACAGGATGAAAGTGTTTGCACAACCACCACTCACATGAAAACAATCCCAATGTAATTATGTATATACAAATATATTTCTATGCACATATTTTCCCAATCTGTGGGTTTTGGCCGGTGGTCTTTTGAATTGAAATAAGAAGAGTTAGAATGTGGCTAATTGGGTTCTTTCTTGCTTTAATTTTTGGTGGTTGCAGGATCCACCAGCAGATCCACCAACAGAACAGCGGGAAGCCAAAGAACACGGAGCCGACGTGAGCCACCAAACAGCCAAGGACCGTTGCGGGTAGGACGGGCGACAGGAAAGGGGTTCTATTGTTTACATTAGGCAACCACCAGGAACATGAAAGCAATCCTACTTGTATATATATATATTTTTTATATATATAACATGACCCAAGAGGCAAACACGATTTTTAGCCAGAGCTCATTGGGCAAAAAAATGATGCAACATGATGCAAAATGAAACAATAACAAAGCACAACTATATTTGTATGCACATATTTTCCCAATCTGTGGGTTTTGGCCGGTGGTCTTTTGAATTGGAATAAGAAGAGTTAGAATGTGGCTGATTGGGTTCAGGATACTCGCCAAAGCTCGTTCCGACCCAGGAATATCTATATATGGGAATATATATATATATATATAAATATATATATACAGATTTATTTATTTACAAATATATATACCTGAGAATTCGGAAGGGCCAACTACACAATATACTTGTATTCTATGAAGTTACCCACAAGTGCAGCTCTTCTGATATGCGTATATTTATATATATATATATATGCGTATATATATATATATGTATATATATATATGTATGTATATATATATATACGCCACCTTGCTCCCCATTCTCCAGCTACAGGAGGATCCACCAAAAGAGCTTCCACCCATGGAGCCCCAACTTCACCCAGAGCAGGACAGTTGGGGGCAGGGGCAAGACGGGGAAACCATGGCTTTAGGAAAAAAAGACTTATAGTGTGTACTCTATATATATACACTGCAAATATATATATATATAAATATATAGGTAGTTGTTTTTTGAAAAATGCATATGTGTCTACTCGGCTAGCTGGCCCCAGCCACCCAATGACAGAAAAGTTGAAGACTGTCAAATATATATATAGACATATATATACGTGATAAATAAA